GACTCTGCTTCTTGCCACTGATGAGTTCTGTAACCTCAGACAAGTGATCTAACTTCAGTTTCTCCACTTGCACAGAGGGAGATAATGCAGATTATTCTTCACGACTGAGCTTAAACGAGATTACTTACACTTATGTGTGTACGTATGTATTTACGTATATATAAATCTCAAAAGGTAAAAACCCAGAGAGCCAGGAGTACAGATCTCAACCTGCCTTTAAAAACGTCCTAATGGATGGTCTCCACAGCTAACCGGGGAAGAAACCGCAGCAGATGCATTGTGTTTAGGGCTAAACAGATGTTACCATCCCTTTAGGAGATGCAGCCCTCTCCCTACTCTAATCCTAACCCCGTTAGTGGAAGATCATCAATAAATAGCCTCACCTCAACTTTAACCCTGGGACTTCAACTCTCCTGGCAGAGAGAGGGGTGGACTCCTGGGTGGTCCCCCAGTTGGTTAGGATGCCCTGTCTGCAGCAGATGGGGTACACTGTGTGCCCAAGAAGGCAGGTGGGGACAGTGGTGGCTGAGGACCCAGGCTGGGAGGTAGGAGGCCGGAGCAGGAGCTGAGATAGGCTACTTCGACATGCCCACCCCCTCCCCGTGACTTTCTCTAAGGCCTTTCAACACCAGCTCCCTGGTTTTAAAAAGTGAAGACTGGGGAATGTTGTAAATTTCTCTCAGTCAGTCACCTGGGAGGCAGGAGAAATGCTGAAAGAAGGAAGAAAGTGTTCTCCAGATTACTTATTTGGCAACTAATATTGTTCTTCCAGCAAATGCATTACATTTCCTTCTTTTTCTGGTGTTATACATTACCTTGTGTAAGATGTATTAAATGGGCTCTCACTTAGCTGCACTGTGATTTATTAGTTTTCCAGATGTATCAGTGCCCAAGTTTAACAAGGGTCAATTTTATCTTGTCATAAGCATATAAAATGACACACGGCTCAAGACAGAGGAACAGACACGGCATATTTTCTAGGGTTTGTCAGATCAGCAGGGAGGTGAGGACATACATCTCTAGGTGGTCTGTCTGTCAGCAGCTTCAAACCCCACTGNGCAAAACAGTGGTACCAACGGTTTATCTCCCTGACACACCCTAGCCTTGCACTGGACTCATTGGAAATATGCTTTCTACAAAATTGCCTCTTTTTTAAAAAAATGGGCAGAAAAATAGCAGCACTGCTCAGTGTTTTGTGAGGACATTGGGGGCCAAAGTCAGGAAGTAAGATATTCAAGGCCTGGTGCCAAGCAGGTCTCTTGGTACTGGCTACAGTCTTGGGTATGGCATGAGAAGAGCATGGTTGGTGGATTTGGAGAACATCTTCCTCTGGGCCCACGAAGACATTATATATAAGGTTAGGAGTGGTTATTTTCAAGTCAAGAAATGAAGGAAGTATTGGCACAGCCACTGCAGGAAGGAAGCTTATTAGCCATTTCCTATGGCAGTGCCAGAATTCTACAATGCAAACTCATCCAGCCCCAGTCTGAGGCAGGGCATGCAAAGGAGGGCATATTCCAGGCTGGCGCATGCTCTTGTCTCATTTCACCAGGGAAACACATGCGTGGGGAGGCGAGGCTGTCCTGACTTCACACAGCCAGTCAGGAGCCAGGTCTGCCCACAGGGCCTTGCCTCTCGACACCATGCTGGGCCATGAGAAGAATGGGAGAATGCGCAACCCCTGTGACAGCAGACACACTACACACACGCGTGCACACGTGCACGCACACACACGTACACACCGATCTTAAATCAGTGATTCTGGGAGATGTGTGCCTCTCCCAGGTAGAAGACAACCCCAAAGTGCTTTCTGCTTAATTTAGAGAGACATAAACCATCCATGGGGCCCATGACAACTGTCCCCCAAGCTCAGCCACACTGCTGTCACTCTCGCCCAGACTCTGCTTCTTGCCACTGATGAGTTCTGTAACCTCAGACAAGTGATCTAACTTCAGTTTTTCCACTTGCACAGAGGGAGATAATGCAGATTATTCTTCACGACTGAGCTTAAACGAGATGACTTACACTTATGTGTGTACGTATGTATTTACATATATATAAATCTCAAAAGGTAAAATCCCAGAGAGCCAGGAGTACAGATCTCAACCTGCCTTTAAAAACGTCCTAATGGGGCCGGCCCGGTGGCGCACTGGATAGTGCGCCGCTTGGGAAGCGCGGCGGCG